TGTATTTAAACTATGCAGAAACCAAAGTCTGGAGACAAGCCAAAGTTATTGCCTTACTTAATCTCCAATGACCACAAAAACTATCAGACAATATCCTTATTTGTCAGCTATTTAAAATACTTCTACTCACGATCCTTAATATAATTTCACCGATAATAGAAGAAAAACTAAAATTAAAAAAGAGCAGAGTGGCAATACACAGGAAAGATCATGTAAGTCACAAATATTAAATCTTACCTAACACTTCTACGATTTGGCAGAAGAGGACCGGGACGTCGTCGTATCTCGTGGTTGAAAAATCTCCGACAATGGTTTGTTATGACCTCAGCGGAGCTGTTTCGCAGAGCAGTCAACAAAACCATGATAGCCTTGATGATCGCCAACATCCGGACCGAATAAGGCACTGAAGAAGAAGAAGAAGAAGAAGAAGAACACAGCGAAAATGGGAACGAAAGATATTAGATATCTGGGATAGTATTTTGTCAATCTTAATGCCACTTATGACACCTTAAATTAGAAGACAATGTTTCAAAAACTATACGACATTTCCTTAGATAATAGACTCACTTTTATTATCTGCGTATGCCTACGGAACAAATTTTTAGTATTACTTAATGGCAAGATTACCACATGGAGAATGCAGAAGAATGGTCTCGCTTGATGTAGCGTAATTAAATTTCCGTAATACAGACGCTTTTACAAAACTCAGCATTCAATAGTGTAATCTAAATGTTGAACTCTGAACGTTCTATAAATACCTTGGAGATAGTTTATATCACACGTTGTAATTCACAGAACATTGTTTAAAACTAAAAGGCAAGCTGAGTACCAGAAATAATATTCTTCGCTTAAAACGTAGACGCTTGCACTATATGCTTTTTTGCCTAAGTTAATGGCACTGGCAAAGCCAAAAGGCCAGTCATGGCACTATATGCTTCTGCTGTCGATATACCTCGCTAGTATGGGTGATACCAAAAAACACTTGACACGTAGATTTAGTTATAAGTTAGTCAACAAAACCACCAGCAGATATTTGTTACAATAAGACTCAGATTCATACATAAGCTCTACCCTATCGTAGCTATCATTCTACCTAATATTCGAAAATAACTAGCTAGATAACAAAAGGAACAAAATTTAGATTGGTAAAATCTATTCAACAAATACCAGCCCCTTGTATACCGACGCAAATTCATGAAAAACTGTAAGATATACCAGAAAAACTCGTCATGCCAAAAAAAATCGATCCTCGTCATTTAAACTCTCAAAATAAACTTTTGTCTGGTAGTTATTATCCTTATTCTACCTAAATGATTCTTGTCCTCAAATACCGATAACCTGTATAAATATGAGGTGGTGAAAGACTCAACACATCTTCTTAGTTGTCACAGGGTAGAAAAAGCTTGCACAGAACACGATCTCCCGCACACAATTTACTTTAATTTGTGAAAGTGCTCTTTACTGAATGGACAAGGTTTAATAATTTGGATTCAACATGTAGAGTATAGTCCGTAAGCTATTGCTTATAAAGATAATTGCAAATTGGACACTAACTACTTATATATTGATTACTTATTATCCCTTTATAGGAGATAAAACATTAAGAAGTATACAATATTGGTGAAGGTGGTATATTTTTGTTAGATAAAACAATCATCCTTTTTTTTTGCATGAGCACTACTACCCATTCGAACACAAATATCTACATATTTTACCACTTAACCATATTTGTTTCGAAATAACCTTCTATCCAGATATCATATGTAGTACACAAATGAAACCAAAACATAAATAATAAAAAAAGCTGCATAAAAGGTCGCATAGAACAATAGATGAAATAAAAGCAACTCTTATTAATCTGATTCTTACACACAAAAATACATAATACAAATACAAATAAAATACATTACGAAATGTCCGCAAATAAAAAACATTTAATACGACAATGAAATAATATAATTATTATAAATAAAAAAAACATTTTTAAAATTACAGAGAATATTAAATTTTGTATGCAAGTGAAAATTCCATTAAATAATAAACTTAAGTCCTTTTGTACCTATATATATCTATCTATACAACCCTAAACATCCATCCTTAGATATAGGCCTCCTCCTCCTTCTTCCATGCCTCTCTATCTTGGGCAATTTGCATCCATTTTGTACCTATATACCTTTTTTATAAAGAAGTATGTGCCTACTAACAGCAAGTAAAGTTAGTAGGACACATTATCTGTTACACACTGTTAATACACATATTCGTCTACATTTTCAATCTTCCTATCGTCAAGAATGATATATACTTTTTCAGCTAACATGACCTTAGTTTTCTCAATATGTTAGTCGTACTATCTCTAAGTCTGTTGTAACTAACATTTCTTGTAACTTCTGTGCTCAAGTACTAATTAGTACAATTTTATCTGACAATCACAATTAATTTAAGTACCGTCCATCGATGTTAATACTTTTTTTTTTTGTTCCAATTCTCGTATTTCACAGATTTCACAGATTTTAACTTTAAATGTTTTCCAAGTGCTTTTTATATCGGGGATCTATTCTGCCGTTATCTAATGTATGAACTACCCATTGCCCATTGTTTGATGGAATCGCAAGCTTTATTAAAAAATGTCAGCTTAAGTGAAATTTTTGCATTTTTCCGAGTGTGTGATGATCATTTGTACTGTATCCTTTGTGAAATCCCTTTTTGGTATAAATCTAATTTGTTGTAATCTTTGTTAATAATTTACATGGGTGTGTTAAAAGACTAATTGGTCGGTTCGTGTTTATTCGATCTCTTGTCTTGTGTCTTGTGCCATGACTATGAATTCGTTAGGCATCTGTTAAGGATTCTTATTGATTCTAGAGTTGTTATCCACCTGTTTTGACCATCTCTGTTCTTATTTCGTCTTGCACGGGCGATTTTTATTGGTCATACGATTAATAGAGTAAAAAAATCGTTCAGTAAAAGGTTGATGCGATGGTCGTTGCGTGCGCACATGTGTGTGCTGTGTTTAAAATGACATTGGTTTAGAATAGTAAAGGCAAATGAAAGTTCTGAAAAACCTGTGCCTAAAAAGTATCACTCCAATAGCTAGATTGAATAAATGTTATTAAATTCCGAATACTTAAAAGTTTTTCCAGCAATAAAGCTAAAGTATAAGAGGGTGAAAGTAAGACATTTTATTGACAGAATGAAACGACATTCATCTGTATTGCATTTAAAAGGACAATGGTTTAGAATAGCAAAAATGTATTAGGCAGATGAAGTTTCTGAATACCCTGTTGTGAATAAATTCTTAAAAATTCTTGTTAACATTCGAACTGCTTGTTTGATTGGGAGTGTATTACGGAAATTTTAAGTCTATATTGAGCAGTGTACGAGATATATGTGCCTGAGAGAACTGTGTCAACCAGTATTCATTAAAGGTCAATGTACGCCTTTGCCAAGCAGCAGACGTTAAGTGGAATCGCAGGGGTAGCATCTATGTGTTCGTTAGTTCTCTGTCTATATTAATATTCGTTTAAAATCAACTAGTGGGGTCACCTCGTTAAATATCCAACAGCTAGAGACTGATATTTCTTTAAGTTGTCCATTTCTAAGATCCTGTAGCGTGGTTTACCTCTATATATTAATTTAATATTGCCAGGTCAATGATAGTTTTCATTTATTTGTACTATTAATAACTTTCTTTTATAATAGATAATTTTTATTAAAAAAAATATAAATGAGTTGGTACTGCACTGATTTATTTCGCGAATCAAAGCTGCTAACATTTTTTCTATCTCAATATAATTTATCTTGTCACTTATTTTGTCAGCAATCAGAAAAGAATCAGAACGAGGAGTATCTTCTATATTTTAAATTCCTAGCGCTAACCGCATTTTATATTATTATACTCTTTTGAACGCATAACATTATTCGCCCGTGGTGTAGTGAGTAGTACGAAGGTATACTAATTATTTGATCCGGGTTCAAATCCTACCTCGGAAAACTTTTTCTTTAATTTAAAAAATTAATAATTAATTATAAATAATATTGTGAGAATAAATAGTTAATAGAAAATAAAATATTAAATTTAAAATAGAATTAAAAATAAAATATTACAAGTAGAGTCATTGCATATGGTTTCGGTCTCGACTAAAGGTTCGGAACCATGCTAAGTTACACGTTGGTCGGTAATGCAGATCCAATGCTTACCGACATTGGCGCCAGTGACGTCACATTGTCTGTCTGGTTAGAGTGGCCCATACTCTACTTTCGTTAACACTTGATAGTAAGCGGGTATATATTTATTAGCACACAAATTTACTTCTCAGTTATCATTTTTGCCGGTTACATTGGAAGATTTATTATTTAGTACCGCGTGCAACTTATCAGTGTAGTGTAATTGAGGTATACCTGAATATCAAGAGTGGGACAGGCGGACTGTGTTGTTTATAGAGGACGTCGCGGCATACCTATTCATAAAGGACGTACAAAAATTGTATTGGACGATATTACGAGAAGTATAATCTGAAGAAAATTCGTGGATTTTATTTTAGGAACGAAATGCCCACGTTACAGGCTATCCAACGAGAAATTAATGCAGACGCAGATGATACTTTAAATAAATTGTCCATGCGGGTATTAAAAAGAACATTACGTTAAATGAATTTCCTGTTTTGTGGCTCGGAACATTCTTTATTAGAAATATAGTCTGGTGCCTGACGCTAGTTTATTTTAACCTCGTTTTGTTGAATACAGTCCACTTTTTATATTGTCAGTAAATAATATACAGTTCAGGAGTTTACTTTTCAGTTACTATCGAAACTGGACTGACAACTTAACAAAACCAGTAATATTATTTGTACAGTGCTACCAATGGTCGAGTCTAGGACCTTTAACCTTGTCCTTGTAAACGTTAATCAATGCATACAGGACCCTTCCCGTATTATTGACCTTGAAAGTGTTTTTTGTTTTAAAATGTAGGTACATTTTAGTTTAATTAACTCTGTTTTCAGATGCTGCTATTAAGACTTTTACCGCATCTGACATTAGACATGTTCCCAAGTCAACTGTTGGAGTTGTGGTGTAAAGTTTTGCTCAGTTTACCCATCATAGGAAGAAGAGACACCGCTGGTGACAACATTTTACCGAAATTGTACCCATTTTTGAAAAGGTAAACTATTTTTAATAAAAGTGTTATTGTTTTATTTATACACTAACATGTTTTAGATATGTACAGTCTAGTAATATGTCAGACGTGTTAGAAATAGCGACGGGACTAGTAGAAGTAGTCAGGCAGGAGTCCAATAGAAGTACTCCCTTGAGCCACGTGGGCAAGTCTCCCTTATATTTTGTTTTATTAAATAAGGTATGTATGTAATATTTAAATATATCCTCGTCAGTCCCGAAGTACGGTACATACAAGAAACAAATATATGTGATGATTTGATATTTTGCAGAAAAATATGTGAAAGTTGTAAAGCTACTGATTTATTCGAGATTTTAAACATATTGATAGTTTGAACTATGTTTTCGAAATAACTAATTAATAATTCTTGTACCGGCATGTAAGTAGTATTTTGTTTATTTACTAATTTATTTCAATTAAATAGATTATCTGATACCAATTTGGGGGTTTTTACTTTGTCTGCTTTATCAATTTTTATGGATATTAATAATCACAGACATATAATATTGGCATAATTGCTGTAATTGTTATCTTTCTTCTAATTTCAGCATTTAATTAACGTGGTACCATTAGACCTGAAGATACAAAGCAAATATATACGAGCGAACAGTTTGAGAAATAGTTTCCCGAAGATATGGAGCAATATGACTGGGTCAGAAACCCTTTCCTGTCATTCACACCATCGGCATTTTCAACAGAGGAAGAAGAACAGCTGACAGAAATGTCCTTTGATTCCAGCCTAAAGCTTTAATACTACAAGGACAAACTGTATGAATTTTGGAGCTCACTTTCTCGTGAATATCATGCCATCAGCACTGCTGCATTAAAGGTTTTATTACCATTTACGACTTCGTACTTGTGCGAAACGGGCTTTTCTGCAGTTACAGTAATTAAAAACAAGTACAGGTCAAACATAAACTTCATAAGCTGTGCTCAAAAAAGCAAGCACATCCCCCACATTAACCAGCTATACTCTGTTTTTTAACCAGGAGTAAACCAAAAAGACAGATTCACACTCAAGAAAGTTACTAGAAAAGTCACCAAATACATCTTCTTTTTTTGTTGATTATCTCGGCCTTGCGGTAATCGAGTAATTAATATTGGACAAAATGACACGTCAATTTTAACCTAACTTCGTTTATTTATGTTTGAATAATAAAATATTTTTTTTAAATTCACTTCCAATATATATTACAATAAAAAAAGGATGTTTTTCACATTTGGTCCCATGTATATATATATATATATATATATATATATATATATATATATATATATATATATATATATATATATATATATATATATATATATATATTTAAATATCGGGTGATCCAGTTTTATAGATCTCTTAAGTCTATGGTATTTAATTATAATTTAGAGAATATTTTGATCGGGAGAGTCAATAATGTTACAGATCTAGTATGGTTTTTCTCAGAAATTTGTCTTTTAATAGTAGACCATATTCTTATTCTGGTATGATCAATTTCTTGAATCTAGTTTATTTTTCTTACCAGATACTTTGTATAAATAAGTGTGTACTTACAATTTCTTTAATGCTGGATTCTTGTTTAATTTTGACAGCGAGTTTGTCCCATTTGTTATCAACAAATAAAATTTACTAAAAAATACTGGATTTCTGTGAGATAATCAACAAATCCATTCTATTATGTTACATATTTGCATAATTTTGCAGTTTTCTTGTGATGATCTACAACCAGGAAGAACAAAACCAACTGTATCATACAATCAAACTAAAACACAACATTACTTTACTTATATGTTCTTTTATTGTGGTGAAAACAAAATGGAAATGCTTCTTAACAGGTATACACTAAATTTAAAAGATAGTTGCCGTTTTTATTATGATAATTAGATATAAATAACATACATATTTATAAATTTATAAACACTTTAAACTATATTTAGTATAAATATCATCTAGAAAAATATCACATTAAATACTATTTACATATCACCAAGTCCAAGTTATTACAAACAACTTAAAGAGTAAGAAATCGATTTATATATTAGAGGAAAATAATAATAATAAATAAATTTCACAAACGTGTCATTAGTGTCAATATGTCATAATTTAGTGGAGTAAACTTGCCTGCGGTTGGACCAATTGCAAACAAGCATTACGGCGCGGAAAATTTGAATTACTCCTCCTGGTTAAAAAACAGACTTTAGTTACATAAATAAATATCCCTTTTGATTTTTGTACCGGGTGGTCCAATAAGTCGATCTCTCGACTATATATCAGAAACTATTCATGCTATAACTTTAGGAGAAAAAATTCCTTAGTAAAAGTGGCCAAGAGAAATCTTCTTCTTCTTCCTTCTAGTATGTAGGCTTTAAAGCCTATATCTTCTTAAATATTAGCCTCTTAAATTATCGCACCATCTGTTTCTTGGTCTGCCAATACTTCTTCGTCCATTTGGTGACTTATCTCATGCTATTCGTACTATTCTAACCTCTGTCATTCTACTGATATGTTCGTTTCACTCCTGTTTTCGTTTTGTCACCCATCCATTTATGTCTTCTATATTACATGCTCTTCTTATGTTTTCTTCTTCCTTCTAGTATGTAGGCTTTAAAGCCTATTTCGTCTTAAATATTAGCTTCCTAAATTATCGCATCATCTTTTTCTTGGTCTGCCAATACTTCTTCGTCCATTTGGTGACTTATCTCGTGCTATTCGTACTATTCTATCCTCTGCCATTCTACTGATATGTTCGTTTCACTCCTGTTTTCGTTTTGTCACCCATCCATTTATGTCTTCTATATTACATGCTCTTCTTATGTTTTCTTCTTCCTTCTAGTATGTAGGCTTTAAAGCCTATTTCGTCTTAAATATTAGCTTCCTAAATTATCGCATCATCTTTTTCTTGGTCTGCCAATACTTCTTCGTCCATTTGGTGACTTATCTCGTGCTATTCGTACTATTCTATCCTCTGCCATTCTACTGATATGTTCGTTTCACTCCTGTTTTCGTTTTGTCACCCATCCATTTATGTCTTCTATATTACATGCTCTTCTTATGTTTTCGCTTCTCTCCCTATCCAATAGACTTCTCCCTGATATTCGTCGGAGTATTTTCATGTCTGTTGTTTCTAGCAGTCGTCTCGTTTTAGATGTGTCAGGTCTTGTCTCCGCCGTGTATGTTAATATAGGTCTAATTGCTGCTTTATAGATTCTTGTTTTTGTGTCTTGTCTTAAGTGTTTGTTCTTCCAGATTGTGTCATTAAGAGAACCCGCCGCTTTACTTGCTTTTAAGCTTTGTTGTCATACTTCTTCTTTAACATCTCCGTAACTAGTTATATCTATTCCCAAATATCTAAACCTTGCTTCCTGCTTTATTATTTTCCCATCAATTTCGATTTTACACCGTAGTGGGTATTTAGATGTTGTCATACATTTGGTTTTGTATGCCCAGAGAAATCGCTGGAAATAACTTTTAAGTTTCTGGTTTAACCGCTAGGGGGCGTAACCTGTGAAGAACACTTTGAAAACCAGTTTTTTTTTTAGAAATATGCCCAATTATACGTGTTAAATAAGTAAACTAGAAAGAAGCCTAAATTCTGCACAAAGTTGTTCAAGTACTTTTTTTTATTTTTTCAAATAAAGGGTGGGGGAGAGTGGGAAAGTCTTTGTGGATAAATAACTTGATTAAATTACATTGGAATAGAAAAAATTAAAATTTGTTTTTCTTCAAAATGTTTAATGGAAACACCTATTTATTGTAAATTTTAATGGAACTGGATTAGATTCGCAACAAAATGGCGATTCGAGATATGAATAAAAACACATAAACATAAGTAAGTATAGTATTGACTCGCCCTGTATTATAAATTAAATTAAAAAATAAGTCATTAGGTACTTTCAATTTTTTTATAGCAGAAGAATCTTAATGTTGATACCTATGTTGACCATTGTTATTTCATATGGTTAAAAATAGTTCTTTCGAAACCGAAGTAAGCTACGACAATGAATTTGACGGGGAGTTCATATTGTTTATTTATTGGCAGCAGTCAAAACATTGTTAAGAAGTGTTATATTATAATTCGAATTGAAGATTGCACTTTTTTCAATAGATATTAATATTGGTAATATTAGTAATTTATTATCAGTACTCATAATTCGTGATGAGTATATCAAATGCAGAATTGTATGATATGATTGGAGTTCATTTCGAATGTCACCAAATGACGCTATTGCTTCACGTATATATTCTGTAAGATATCTTGACAGGAGACATTATGAGAAAGAAGTATTTGAAAGAAAGGCAAGAAGATTAAGAGAAACTGGTAGTTTTATTCGTCCTTTTTTTAAACGGCGTAGTAGAGGTATGACCGAAGATAATTCAATCAATGTTCTTGCATCAATGTTCTTGGTTTAATTCAACAGAATCCACATATAAATAGTCGGCAAATCTCTATAGAATTAAACATACCCAAAACTACTGTGCTAAGGATTTTAAAACATCACAGGTTGGTTTTTCATATTATAAAGTGAACGTTTAGGTCAGAAACTTGGAATTCTCATTATACTTTAGATTCAACTGTGATTTTAATATTCCGATAAAAACGGCAATACGGCTTTTATCCTTTTATCCGTTTCTTAAAAATACTTGTACACGATTTATCTTGTGAAACAATTGTGGATTATTCAAGATTTTTTGAGTTTTCGTAAATATAGTGGTTTCTTTTTCGCCAATATTTGTTGTTCTGTTTTTTAAATTGCATCCTTATCATGTAGTTCTCTACCAAGCTTTACATGAGAGAGATTTTGATGCAAGGCTGGATTACTGCAATTGGATGTTAGGTCTGCTAGAAGAACAACCGCATATCATGTCAAATATTTTGTGGACAGACGAGGCTACGTTTAATAGTGCGGGTGGTGTTAATCTGCATAATATGCATTATTGGGCTGAAGAAAATCCGCACTGGATACATGAGGTGCAGGTTCAAGGTGGATAGAGTTTTAATATTTGGTGTGGTACAGTTGATGGAAAGATCGTAGGTCCATATTTCTTTGATAGAACTTTAAATGGCGAAACATATTTGGATTTTCTGGAAAATCAGTTGCCTGTTTTGTTGGAAGATATTTTCTTACAAACAAGGAGAGATATGATATTACAACATGACGGGTGTCCTGCTCACATTTCCAGACGAGTTCGAGATTATTTTTATGCAAGTTATCCAAATAAATTGATTGGAAGGGGAAGTATATTTTCATGGCCAGCTAGATCTCCAGACCTAATATGTCTGGACTTTTACCTGTGCGAAAGATTGAAGGACTTAGTGTACCAAACTCGACCAACCACGCGAAACGACATGAAACAGCGCATTATAAACGCAATAAATAGTTTATCAAGCAGCTGTTATGTCTACGCGCGAAAGATTACATCTTTGTGTGGACAACGATGGAAAACAATTTGAATATTTAAATGGACATTAAGTTTTAATGATCGAGATATTTGTATAATCTTTCACATATTTAATTTTAAGTTATAATAAAGGGTGAGTCAATACTATACTTACTTACATTTATGCGTTTTTATTCATATCTCGAGTTCAACAAAAACTATCAACTACTATTTCTTCTACTTCTATATCTAAAACTTATAATTTACAGTAAATAGGTGTTTCCATTAAACATTTTGAAGAAAATAAAATTTTAATTTTTTCTATTCGAAAGTACCGTCTACCCATGAGAATTAAAACTAAATGCAATTGTTTTATAGTATATGTAAATTAAATCATACACTCTTTCTAATGACACTAATTTCGTTAAAATCGGTTGATCCAAACCAAAGTTATAGATATTTATCCACAAATACTTTCCCACTCTCCCCCACCCTTAAAAAATTACTTGAACAACTTTATGCGGAATTTAGGCCTCTTTCTAGTTTACTTATTTAAGCCTTGGTATAATTGGGCATATTTCACAAAAAACTGGTTTTCAAATTTTTCTTCACAGGTTACGCCCCTAGCGGTTAACCCTGAAACTTGAAAGTTATTTCCAGCGATTTCTATTGGTCACTTTTACTAAGGAATTTTTTCTCCTAAAGTTATATCATGAAGAGGTTCTGATATATAGCCGAGAGATCGGCTTATTGGACCACCCTGTAACATATGTTTTGATTTCGTTCTTAATTTCGAATAAATATGTTCAAATAGTGTTTTTGGTATAACTATAACCTGTTACTAGGCTAGTACTAAAATTGATAAATATTATTGGGGATTGGGTTGAGGGGACGTCGCAAAAAATAGAAAAGTCTCAAGGGCGTCTCAGTAAGAATAAGTTTTGGAAGCCATGGACTAAGGAATTAGGAGGTACCCATACAAAGGTTTTTCAAATTATCTAAAACTTAAATTACATTTTTTATAATGGTTTTAATCTCTCTGTATGATTTCTCGAAATTAGTGTATTGTAACTTAGTTCTAATCTCTTTTAATTTTCTAGAAATTTGAGTACATATTACAAATAATTTAATACAGAGGTAAAGTTATTTAAAATTGAGACAAAGTAGTCTACAATGTATAACTTATATATTTGGTAATAACGGTAGCTAAATTCTTAGATCTCACTTTACAATATAAATATTATGTTGAAAACCAAAAACTATAGTTTAATTTTTTTAATTTAGCTTAGGCTATAATTAATTTGTGGGTAAAAGTCACTTGAAAAGCACTGGTGGAGTAAGACATCATATTTCAATTTAAATATTTAGATTAATTGTATACGTAAATCGCCACAGGGACTGACGAATATATTCGTACGAATCAAGAAATATCTCCGTCTACAGTAAATTTAACTTCAAGCTACGGACGATGGAAACAAATGCACGCTTGAACCACGCGTTTGTTCAGAGCCGGACTAGTAAATTAAAGCTGCAATACAAAACCTTATATAATTTGTAGACGTCTGACAGGTACAGATTATACAGATTAACAGGTACACCAATTTTTTAAATATAAAAATGATTTACAAAGTCGAGAGTTATTAACAACAAAATAAAGTATACAAAAAAAGTCTATAAAATTACCGTATTTTATCTTAACTTTCAGAATCTGATGTACTGTTGTCATCATTAAAGTTGATAATGATAGGCTCAATTTGTGCCTCAATTAAATTGTCCAACTCCCACATTTTTGGCTCCACTTTTTCTTTTACATGTTTGACGAAGTTTTTCCATTTTTCCATGGTTATAGCAGACACAGCTTTATGAAATAAATTTTTAATGTCAGCAAATTTAAATGTTGTGTTATGCCATGCTACATAATTCTTAACTTCCGCCCATACAAGCTCGATTGGATTGAACTCGCAGTGATACGGTGGCAACCTTAAAACTATTCTATTTGTGCTTCTTACCAGTTCATCTACTATGTACTTATTATATTCGCCTTTATGTTGTTTAACGATTTCTAAAAGTTGCACCTTTAACATCGTTTCTTCAAAGGGAATGTCTTTTGAGCGAAGCCAATTTTGAATATCTGCCTTTTTTGTAGCCATAATGGGAATTTTTTCCAATTTTCTAGAATGGTAAGGGGCATTGTCCATTACAATTATAGCATTTTTTTCCAGTGTTTGGAACGCTAAAGAAGGATTATCTTGTAATTCACATTTGTATGTATTAGCCATTATTTTTTTGATTCTTATATCTACTTGAATTTTCTTAGCTCTTTTCCTAGGAGGACTTAGCGTTAACAGTTCCTCATTTTCATTTGCAGACTCCGTATCAGACATATTAAATAAATGGATTTATTATACTTTTCTCAATTAAAATAACAAAATGGGCATTTTCAAATTTACTTTTATAGTAGAGGATCCAATATAAGGTTTACCTACACCGCTTTGGTAAATGTGATATTTTTTACTAATGATTTTGATCCTTGAAAATCGTCATCTATCGTTCTTCGTCTGTCAATTCTTTTTCGTCTGTCAATTCTTGTTCGCCTGTCAATTCTTCCTTGTCTTCCAGTTTTAAATTATTTATAACTCGAACACGATCAACTTAAGAAAAATTACAAAATAAATTTTTGTTTAGAATGATCCAAAAAATCTAAAACAATATTTGCCCGGGTTGATTTTTTTAAATATATAAAAAAAGGTATTTTTTAACTCTTTTCGGCACATCGGATTGAAATTTGAACCACCAAATTTTTGCTACTACATGTTGTACAGTAGTCCACAAAATGAATCACTTATTAATCTATTTTCATCAAGTTACACCTACGCAAGTGGTTTGTATTACTCATTCCCTCTGTCTCTATTAAGTGTTATCTTTAATTGGTGAAATTCCCACGGTATAGTTATTGGCCAAACGCGAATGGTTATCAGTTGTTTCTTGAAAAGTGAGGTCATTTTACTTTTTACGTGTGCAATTGAATCTTTCTATGCCCAAGGGTTCATTGTAGAAAATTTATAAAATCTCGTGCCGCAAAGAGTTTAAATTAATTATAGTCAGGACAAAATTATATCGGGCACCTATTGTTTTTCATAATTTTTAACATACTAAATAATTTTTATCCATTAAACATATCAGTGCAGGTAGATATTATATCTTATCTTATGGCTATTATAAATGCTTTATTATACTTACAGGAATTATTTTAAAGTGGGGAAAAAGTTTGTATCGACTATAATTAAATGTTTTTAAAAATGCTTTGCACTATCCACACACGAGCTAACGATTAACAAATAAACAAACCAACAAACAGCTTTGCACAAAAATTACTGGGCCATTTCGCATTCGACAGAGGACGGAGCGGAAAAACGAAGTCCGCACCTGTTAGGGCTAACTGCCTGACTTACGATCGTTCGAGAATTTGGCCAATTGCAAGGCGTTCGTCACGTGTAGACTCGGTGACTTGTGTTGATTCTGTCCGTAACTTGAAGTTGAATTTACTGTAGGTGATAATTTTTCAAAACTGAATCAGTCGTATTAATGAAGTAAAGTAGTTTAAGACTTGTTCTGTTTTCTTTTTTAGTTCGGCGTTTCAGCTTTAGTAGTACTACTAATCAGAGCTGAATGTCTCCTATCATCAGACTCCGTAACGGAAAAGCAGCAGAACACGTGGTCCAACTTCTTGGTGAGTTGGGCTCAGCTCACAGAGTCAGTGAGTAAGATTCCCGAACCCATCGATACCATCCCCTCGCCAATATTTCACAAGCATTGCAACAGATTTAAAATTTTAAAGACAGACAAGAGAAAATTGTTAAAAAAATATTTTGTTGATTGTAACTCTAATGTATAAAGTTATATATCTAAGGAAAAGGTCCTATCTACTTCCGTATTAACTTGAATGTGCAGGGTGTTCGATATATTTTCTCTTATTTTATGTTCGGAACAGTTTAAGAGTAACACATACTCTATTATTAGGTGGTACTAGGCACCCTTAGGCCTTGAAAAACATTAAGAGTTAAGATTATAGAATGTTTTTATCTTTCTGATAAAAACATTTGCTCTTCCACTTCTAACCAAAAATATTGGGAGATTTGTCAGTACAGTAAATTTGTCCCATTGAATTGGTCAATTATTGACATATTTTTTGTGATTTATAATTTTCAAGGTTTTTAAAAAATGTTAAGATTATCTTCATTACAATATAAAATGAGCTATTATATTTAAAAGATTTTTACTTAATGTTAATGTATTATTATTAAATTAATAATAATAAAAATTAATTAATATAAAGAAAAATCGTTACTGTCATTGGAATCATATTTCACGTTTCCGAAAGTCATTCTGGTATATTCATAGAGCACCACTACTCTACTTTTAATTTAAATTTTATCATAAAAATGATCTGAAAAATGAAGTGCTAAAAGTTCCCAATGACCCCGAAAGACGAATTCGCTTATTTTAACCACTTCTGGATCTTCAAAATGGTATGTTTTTATATAATTGACAATATGGGATCTGAAATAGCATTACTACGTTTCAAGACAAGGAAAATATATTGAGACACCCAGTATATCAATTTAAATTTGCTAATGTTAACTGTGAAATGATGTTTTCTTTGTAAAGTCTAAATTTACGTTATCACTGATTAGTTTTAAGTACGGTTCAAGCTAGTGTGGTAGTAGATACGACGACAAAACTGCATGAAAAAGTGATGATTTAAAAAACAGAGAGAAATAAGTTTTTAATTTTTTATGCTCCTTTAACTTATTAGTTCTTTTGTATTCGCATATTATTTTAAAAGCAATTTTGAAAACTGCTCGGAAAGTGAATGATTTTCTGACGGTTTTTGGAAGTTTTAATATACCAAATTACATGACTTTTTACATTAACACTTTTTATTTTTATAAAGAACATTTTAAGGATGTTAACAGATAAGAAACAAATATCTCACCTGGATCCCAATTATCTCAGAACTTCCATATGGTTAATTTTTTTAAGACGAGCCTTTTATGATATTTTCTATGTTCTAGGTTCCTTGTTGTAGCATCTTCACGTTGTGTTGAAGCATAGTTTTTATGTTTGTTAATATTTTCATTATCTACTACAGTTCAGATTGTCGATAAATCTCATCTTATATTTTCTTCTAGGCTACACAAGTCCCGTAGCTCGTAGAGACTACTTTTGTATGATGTTCTACTAACTGGTCGGCTTTTAAGCACTTTATTTTATGCAAAGGAAGATTGTCTTCTAGAATTCATGTCTTTACTGCTTGTTCGCGAAAACTGCTACTGTAACCAAATATTACATACTTTGAAATTATCGCCATCCGGTGATATTTCTTTTACCACCATAAACATATAATACAGTCACTGCATCTTTAGTATCTTTACGATAATACAGTAACCTTCCTATTGGTCATATAAATCATGTGGCCAAAAAATCCTGCCCACTAGAAATGCACTGTTTGTATTATATGTCTATGGTTACCACATAACCTAACCTTGATCCCGAATAGCTCCGAGATACTTCCAGCACATCTCTAAAGACTTTGGTGTCGACAAACGTTAATTTAATTATAACAACTTACAAGTTTCTACAGCACACATTGCCTCTAAAATTTCTTAAAGCCTGTATATAACTGATGCACATTAAAATTTTCTGAAAAACTAGTGACAATCAATTCTTTAGGTATAATTATTCCGTTGATACATTCCTAAAACAGGTTTACTGAGCTCTTCTGAATACTTTGCTATCGAATGTATGAGCTAAGAGTTATACTCTGAACTTAAACTTTACATCTTAGTAATGCATATACCCAATAACGTACCAGTTAGCACAGCGAGCCATCTGCACATTGGTAGAGCACTATGTGGCTTACATGTATGCGATCCGAACGTAAAGTGTTTTTTTCCTTAAAGTTCCAGAGATTTTTCCTTCTTCAGATTATTCTGTGAGTAATTTGGAGAAATATATTAGGTCCGTTCGATGAGTATTTAGCCTACGACAGAAAATCGAAAATTTTGGAAAACTGGTGATTTATTTCTCAACATAGTCTTTTTTAGCTCAATACACTTGACACAGCGAAGCTCTAACTGTTTTAATTCGTCTGAAAAATGCGTTTTCTCGAGGTCTGCAAAGTAGGCTTTCGTTTCGACAATGACCTCCATATTCGACTTAAATTTCTTCCCTTAAATTTCAAGTTTGGAAACAAAAAGAAGTCGCATGCAGTTAAATCTGGAGAATACGGTGGATATTGCAGTATCTCGCGGCCCAATTTGGCACGCGTCCATTTTTTCTACAATTTGGCATCGATTCGGCCCAATAATTCGGCATAGTAGAGCCATGTTACATATAGTTCATACCTTGTTAATCCCAAAAAACGGTGGCCATAACCTTTCCTGCCGATAGGACAGTGTTTGCCTTTTTCGAAGTACGTTCGCCGGGTGACGTCCACTGTTTCGACTGTTCCTTCGTCTCTGTTATGTACCAGTGCATCGATATTTCGTCGAGGAAACTCCTTTGAATTACGCTTAAACAGCCAGAAGTGGTCTCACCGTTGCGCTTGTTGTCCAGACTGAACAAATGGGGCACCTATCGCACCTAGAGCTTCCTCATGTCCAAAATTTCATGCAGGATGACCCACGCAATCTTTTGAGATGCCTACTGTCTTAGCTATCTCGCGCACCTTCAGCCGGAGGTCTGCCAATACGAGGTTATTTGTTTTTGTCACTTTATCGTTTGTGGTAGCCATTTTCGGGGCACCTAATCATGGCTCAATAAAAACCGACGTGGGACCACGTTAAAACTCTTTAAACCAATTTTTGATGATTGGCATCGAATGAGAAGAGTCACCGTACACAGCAACTAAGCGCTCTTTGATTTCGCTGCGCGATTTCGTTCCAAAAACAAGAATTGAATCACCAACCGATATTGCTCTTTTTCTTTGTTGTCAAAACAAAACTACGAGTCGATTCCATGGAGCGGTGAGGCTAGGTACTTATCGCACGTCTCTCAAATGACATACGTAGCAATTACACTCACAACCTCAGTCACTCAGTAACAGTCTCACTCACTCCTCTTCTTCTTCAGTACCTTATCCGGTCTGGCTGTTGGCGATTATCAAGGCTATCATGGTTTTGTTGACTGCTCTGCGAAACAGTTCCGTGGAGGTCATCGCAAACCATTGTCGGAGGTTTTTCAACCATGAGATACGACGGCCTCCCGGTCTTCTCGTGGCAAACTCTGCTCACTCACTCACTCCGTCTAAATAATCCAACAGTCATAAATATTTGTAGTGAATTACCTGTTCTTGTATTTTTTCTTTTGTTTATTTTCATTCCGAATTCCTGACATGTTTAATTTAATTAGTTAAAGAAGTTTTGTAAACCGTCTGAGTTTACGATCAGTACTGTGTCATCTATGTATCTGATGCTTCATATTTTGATGCCATAACTTTTACTTCCACAGTGACTGTCTAGTGTTCTTCTGAAAAATAGTTCCGAGAAAAATATTTCCTAAACTGGATAAGGTAATGCAGTAACGACTTGGTGTTAATTCTAATCCTAACTTTTTGCCAGTACATTTTTTTAACATATTTTGTCGTCTACTACAATATTATTGTCTACTCCTTTACTATACTATCGAAGGTTTTCAGCAATTTCTTGTGGTTCCACTGTCAAACACTTTTTCTGCGAAGCACAGAGACATATAGGTTTATTGGTCGTAACATTTTTGGCATAATACTTGGAATAAGAAGATAGCTTTCCCAACTGTTTCAAAATCCAAACTGGTTTCTTTTTCACATTTTTATGGGCCATTGTGAACTGTCTGCTATAGTTGTTATAGTCTGCATTATTTTGTTGAAGAAGAGGTCTTTATATTCCTTACATATGTTCACTAATTAATCCATAACTATACTAATAATAAAACTATAATCATATAACTTTTACATAAACTAACCAAAACATTTGGCAGGTGCATAGGGAGGCGCTTTTTTGGTCAGAGCATGGACTTGCCCCGTCTCGCTATTCACCTGGTAAATGTAGACAGATCGTTTGGCTTAGTGTTCCACAGAACACACTGCGTCAAGATTTAAGTGTAGCTTTTAGTTAAAACTAACACAGAGTTAGAAGATACATTCACTTTTCGGTCTGTACATGTCTGTTATTGTTTAATCATACATTTTAGAGTATATTGAAGGCTTCATGAATTACATTCGACAGATCAGGCCTTTTCTCCTAAATTCTTTGTAAAATATGTGAAAAGAGATATCGTTTTAATGTATGTAGTAGGAAAAATATTCTCAAAAATGGTGGTAATGAATCTTACTAATTAAATTGTGTACATTTTTTGTGGCATATACGATTAAGGGTATAAAGTTTATCATAATTTTGTAAATAAATTACTGAAAAACATTGTTTTTCACGAAAGTGCTTCCTGCAGGTATTTTAATAAAATTTCCCAAGTATTAAATGTATGCTCATTTCCCAGAATGCGAAGCACTTTCTCTCATATTTTATTTTGCTTTAGTATATGTTCTTAAATTGTAAATTGTTTGGCAATTTCCACAACATAGCCTTGAACTTAGCGTTTGTGTATTTTTTTACACAAAAACAAGACGACTTTGTACAAGATCGTTTGTACAGTTATTTGTAAATAAATCCGACTTGAATTATATAAAATCGAGTATCTAAAAAATGGCACAATCCCAAAAAAATGCCATCTAGCAAGGTTGCGACTCGAAGGACCAAAACATGTAAAAGTCAATTCAGACAAAAATTTTTGGACCCATTAAATAAAATGAAGGTAAAAAGGATATGATTAACGTTATCCAAAAATGTAGAAATGTGTCGATTGCTTCACACGTACATTAATTATTATGTTCATATTCTTTTTCTACTTTGGTCTTACTTACAATACTGTGGGACTTAATCATATAATTATATTCAGAAAACTATATTTTTAGATAAATCAACGATAATACTATTGATTAAACGAGTGTTGATCCCAAAAGTCCCGAATTACTAATATATTTTTGCGATTGATCTTTTAGCTTTGTAATTCTTATGTTGAAATTTTTTATTACATTATTGGTGATGATAAACTTTTGCCCATGTTTACGTAATTAAATACATCATTACCTTGTTTTTGTGCAGCTTCCAGGCTCTATATTTGTTTTGCAGCCTGTACTTTGCTCGAAAGAATTTATGCG